GTAGATCATAACCGATGGTTCTGGTCCAATATACGAGATGATGTCAAGTACATTGTCGCTAATTGTCTGGTCTATGCCGCTGATCGCGCCCCTATACGGGGACCAAACACGATTGTACCAACGGAAGTAGAGCGTCCTTTCCAGCGAGTCAGTATGGACACGACWGATATCGACGTGCCGCCTGGCCCAAACCGTCGTGAATATTCCATCCTGCTAGTATTAATAGATCATTTTTCCAAGTACATCGAAGTCTATCCCTGTAAGACCGAAGCAGGCGGGGTATCGGAAACGATTCCGCCGGGAAGGTCATGGTCTGGGCGGGGATAAAACCGTTCGACGGCTTGCAGCCATGATCGTCTTTTAGCCGTTACATCCCGTATGGTATCTGTAATGTCTTCGTYCCCCAGGCTKATATACTTTTTTGTATCAGTCAGGTCCAGTTCCAATGCTTTAGTGATGATGGCCGATAACTGGTGWGTTTTCGGCGGGACCTTTTTCTGCAGTTTGCCTTTCAATGTAGGACTTCGTAGGTGGTCGATGAACAAATCTCGAGCGGATTTCTCGTCTCGCCCGGATTTGTCCAGCGTGGTTTGAAATCGATMKACGAAATCGGATAACAATTCCCCTGGTCCTTGTGGCCGATTTTTGAGTACGTACCAGGCGRCATCTTCACTGACCGTATCGAATCGAGCCAGGAAGGCTTGCTTGAAGGTATCCCAATCTACCCACGTGTGTTTTCTAAACYAGTCATGCGATGTATTGCGGAGTAGCAATGTCAGAAYGCGAGGAAGATCGGTTGCGCTGTAGTTTTGAGCTTCTACAGCTTCCAGCCAGGCCTCGGGATGGGTATGATTCGAGAAGAATGGGAAGGGGGCGGGGATACTAACGATCACCCTAGTACCGTCCACCATTGGTGYTGCGGGTGCCGCCACACCAGACTGAGAYCGGGTCACTGGGCGATCCCGACGAGCTAGTTGAGKGCCTCTCCTACCTCTCGCCAGTTCGACTTACTATCATCAGAACCAACACGTGTCGGCTCCGATACCAACCTCACGCCCTGTGCTGTCTTTCATTCGGAGTGTTAGGCGTGCGGAAAGAGGCCCAGAAAAACAGCAAGATGGGGTGTGMCAAGGATTTTTTAAAATTGAGTGCCGGGACACAGATGGAACTGAAATCCCCCGTGTTGGTCCAATGAAGCAAGTCGATTGCTTTCGCGCGTCGCGGAATGCGCGCGCGGGCACAACGCGAAAAGAGAAAAATCCAAATTCAATCCAAAAAGTATTGTCGGGCTTCCYACCGGGCTACAGCCCGTCGTTTAGAACGGAAAGGCTTTGGCACGCTTCGCGTGTCTCGTTTTCGTATCAAATCTCGTCGTCGTTCGATGGTCAGTTCCGAGTCCGACGTGGATGGTCTCAGCCGCGTGGCTCTTTCTTTATGCTCGTCTTCACTCTGCACACGGTAGTGGAAACCCCTGGATTCGTAGCGCTCAAAACACTGGCATTCAGTGCATAGAGTGCACGACCAATGGGGTTCTACTGCCATCCACGGGATGACGATCAAGTCGTTGAATGGCAACAATATCGAGTATGGTGGGAAGTGCGTGTCGATAATGACAAACCCAGCCTCTACGAACCCTGAACAACGATTGGCCGGAGGGAAGTAGTATCGTCCGCCGATTTGTGCAACGGYTTCTYGTACGTCCCACTCACATACACGTGTCCTTCCCTCGTTATAGGGAAAAGGTCATGTTGGGACGGGAGGTACGGGAGGCTGGTGCCCGATCGGAGGGTAYTRGTCAGTCCACATATCCATCAATTRTAGAGACCTTGYGACGTCATYAAAAAGAAAAGAAAACACYCGCGCAACTCAGAAACAATCTTCTTCAACACGAGAGAGAGAGAGAGAGAGAGAGAGAGAGAGAGAGAGAGAGAGAGAGAGAGAGAGAGAAGACACTTCAGCAGTTCAATCACGCATATAACTAAGGAACCGATCCACGGCTCAGGTTTAGTTAGCCAGCGTGATGTTGATCCCCGGGGCCTTGTTTCTCGAGGCCACCTCGTGGTTCGGCTGCTGATGTCGGACAGCATAAGGCAGATGGCATGCGCAGTGGACTCAGAGCCACAGATCTAAACACTCTTGCATTCTCGGTTAAAATCCCGACGACAATCGTCTAATCAACTCCAAAGAGACGCCCATTTCCATACATTCATTCACTGTGGAAGATGCGAAAAATTAGCCATGCACAGGAAAAGATTGATCGCTTGCACAGTACACACGCATCCACCGTTCACAAGACAAGAAGACGGGGTCCTTGCGCAGGAGGATTACCCAGGAAATTAATGGAAGAGTTCCGGAAGAAGTTCTTTCACGCGAGGAAAGCATACAAATTCATGCTCATCCAGAAGAGGGGAAGAGAGAGAGAGAGAGGCATCAAGACACATCATCATTCAAAGATAGAGGTAAAGGGGGAAGGTGAAGAGGGGGGGGAGAGAGAGAGAGTCTAGATAGGAGACGACGCAACCCAAAAGAAGGAAGTTCAAAGAGAAAGGTCCGCAACAACAAATGCGCATTCGCCGTTAATTCCAATATGGCCCCGAGCCAATAACTCACTCAACTCCAATCATCGATCCTCATACCCGCACCGACGATCCTGGCCGTCGCGTGCTAACTCCCACCACTGCGATCGTCACCCCACTGTTGTAGACTCGACAAGGTTCGCCCAGATCCCACAGTCCGTCGTGGCGATCCAGCGCGCTACCACCCAGCCTATCGTCAACCCGACAGGACTTTCCGACTTGCATCAAACACTCTGCCTAGCCACTGCTTCCCGGAAGCTGGCTTGAGAGTCAAGAACGTAAGAGAGATTTGCGGACGCGCTTGCGGGTTTTATAGTTGCAAAAGGGGAGATAAAAGGGGGAGAGAGGGACGGGAAAGCTGAGGTGTAAGAGGAGAAGCAGGAGGAGAAGACTTTGAGAAGAATGCTCTACGAACGCCATGTTGATCCCTCGAAACTCAAGGTTCAACCAATCAGATTCGCCGCGCAATAGGAAGGTCCTATTGATCCACGCACATGATTGCTGAGCGGGAGTTATCGATGGATCGACCGGGCGTCGGGCGCCAGACTCGGAGGGTGAGGGGAGAAAAAGGCATGAGAAGTGGCGGAAGACGAGTCCAAGATTCAGATGATCAAGAAAGAAAAAGGGGCGCGCAGAGAGCAAGGCGGGAGAGGGAGAGAGAGAAAGAAAACAGTTACGGGGCGAGAGAAAGAGGAGGGAGAAGGGGAAAGGAGCGCGGGAGGGAGCGATGCGAGGGACAGAGAGGAGAAAGCTTGGCACGCGCGGTGCCGTCAACAAAAAGAGAGAAAAAGGCACCGAAACAGTTACAGCCTAATTCAAAATTGAAATCACCATATCCGCGCGCGAACGAACGACGCGGGAAAAGAAAAATCCTATGCCTATTCGTATTCACACAAAATTCCGAGAGTTTTCCCCGACGCGACCAAGAACATTCACACACACGAAAAGGACACGTCGATGTTCCGCTTATCCTGGAATTCCCAACTACCGAGCCCAATTCCCAGTGCGTTCGCTAAGGCGCACGTAATTCCTATGTATTTCCCGAATTGCAGAAAGGAAAAGCAGAACCCGGGAGTCGAAAAAGCTTCCGAAAGATGGGGGCCAAAAACGCGGTACCCAAAATCAAGAAAACGAAACGGGGTTTTTATGGGGTTGGTATGATACAAGCAAAAAGGGGTACGAAAGATAGCACGGGTTTGGGAAGTGGTTCGTCACAGGTCGATGTCAAACTTCACATTGATAAGAGAAGGCTTCAGTCTATCTGGTTCTATAGGGTGTTTATGAACGACTGGACCTATAGCCTTGATCACTTGAACCTCCAAATAAAAGAACGAGCGGAGCGGAACTTGTACTGCGATGACCCAAAGGGATTGAAGATCTTTGTCCCGTCTCTGCTCTCTCAGCTGAGCTTTTGTTAGCCATGGTTTAAACTCCAGTCTATAGGTGGTGGAACCTATAGGGATTTTGTCCTTACCTTTTGTGACTAGCCATAATGCAATCGCTCTGTTCTTAGCTACATAGGAGACTACATTAGGACTTTCAATTTTTACCCTCCCTCATCGGAAAATCTCTGCATCAAAACTTCCATCCTGTACCTTCATCCTTATAAGCCCGAACTAGGTCATCCTTCACCTTCTTCGGTAAAACCTGTACCTTCTCATCCTTATAAGCCCTAACTACGTCATCCTTCACCTTCTTCGGTAAAAACCTAGCTCCTCTGAAAATAACCGTCACGGTATGTTCTTTCAACCAGGCTATTTTTACACGATCCAAAGTCAGGTTCACTTTGAGCCTGACTTCTCTTCCTTCCACTGTCATTTGGCCTGGGTCGATCTCAGCTGGAAGTGTCCCGCCTTCATAACAGAGTCTCATCAGCTCCTTCACCCTCTCCTCGTCTTCTCTTTCCATCCCTGGATCCGGCGGACGGGAACGGTGTCCCCTGGCCTCTTCTCCTTCCGCCATAGTAACTGTCTCCATAAGTGACTTCAAGCAGAGGGGCTGCGAGGACTTCTCGTGTTTCTTGTTCCACTCAAAAGAGGCGCCAACTCAGAGCATACAGCATTTGATTTGACTACTTCTTGAGAAAACTGGCTTGGAAAACTTGAATAGTGTGGTTCGGAACCGGCTGGGCGATGAGGAGGTAGGCCCCAGTCCGAAGCAGCCATCACAGACTGCGACGAACAGCAGAGATCTGCTACTCCATACTCCATTGCCGTGGCGTCATCATGTTGGTGACGTCGAACGGCCGCCACAGTCCCCACGTTACCTGGGGATGGTCCCCCCACGTTACCTGGGGATGGTCCCACTTACACGAATTAAGAGATGTTGACCGGAGATAGCACAGATGAACGGTCAGAATCTCGTAATCCGTGCAAGTGGGACCTTGCCCCGGGTGGATAGCGCTTGGTCCGACGCGCTGTGCACCGGCGGAAGCTTTCCGGCCGAACCTCTGTTTTGCAAGCGATTTTTTTCGGCTGTCGTCCCCTCTTTCTGTTTTTTTGTGTTTTTTGGGAAAAAGAGAGGAGTCCATTATCAACGTCCTCCCTTTCCTTCGGCCCGAATAATAATGGGTATCCAGCCCAAAGGCGTCGGGGATATTCATTACTCGAGCAGAGGAAGCTGAAGGATTTCGTAATGTAAGCATACACGAATGGCGGGTTGGCCTGGCTTTCTAATTTCACTTTTCCACATCTCTCTCTCTCTCTCTCTCTCTCTCTCTCTCTCTCTCTCTCTCTTGCCGCAAGAGGAGCGCGGGACATCTCTCTCTTTCCGTCAGTCAGCCTCCCTCTTTCCGTCCGTCAGCCTCTCTCTTTCACTCTCGTTCTCTCTCTATCTTCCCGCGCACGCTAGGAAATGCTTTTGATAGCGTATACTCACACTAGGACTTTCCTCGATGAATCTAATCGAAATTGCGGCTTCTGCTGCATGCATCTGACCGCAATTACGCGCAAAGAGCAGTTCAAAAAGTCCTTGTGTGCGTATGCCCTGAGATTTTCTCCAGCGGATTTCCTTCTTTGCCCCTAAGATTTTCTCCAGCGGATTTCCTTCTTTCCGTTTGTTCGTTCCTGAAAATTCTTTCCCTTCTCCAACAAGTGAAAAAAAAAAAAAAAAAAAGGCTTTCCCAGATTTTTTGCAGCTTGATTGCACATACAAGCCGTCTTTCCGGTCCGATACACGAATGCTGATGATTGTGCTGTGTTGCGGGGAAGATACTGTAATAGGGATAATTAATGTCTTACGGGGCTAATACAAGCCTAGGCTACCAGCCGGGCTGCCGGGGTCACCCTGTTTTCCCGGGCGGCCCGGCCGTGCAAGTACTAGGGAAGGTCCCAGCCCACAAAAAAAAAATAAAAAAAATCTAAAAAATCTGACAAAAAACTATGTCATGCAGAAAAATAAACTGAACAACTTTTTTTTTTTTTTTTTTTTTTCACAATTTATTAAAAGCCGGGAAGCGGGGCTGGCGTCCATCACAAAATTCCGTGGTCCAGTTTAAGGGCAAGACATCATCTGAACAACTTCTGCCTCAGGGTCGTCACATCGAAATTCTTTACCAAATTTAAAATAAAATTTTAAATTAAAAAATAATTCTTATTTTTAAATTTTCTTATTTCGTGTTGGCCCGGCCGGGCAAGTGGACCCGGGGCACTCTGGTAGCCTAGATACAAGCTATATTTCCGACTCGGTACAACCAGGACGATGAGGGTGCGATGTGTTGCAGGGAATAACTGACGACATTTCTTCTTCTCCTCTCTTTTTTTTTTTTCTTTTTTTTTTTTTCTCTCTCACCTGACTGCGTTGGATAAACAAAACAGGGCATGTTGCATGCTCTCGAGTCTCCACAATAAAAGAATATATAGAAGAAAATCCGATACGGAGTGAAGTAAAAAACGGGAAGGAAAAAAAAAGGTAAGATGGCATATAACGGGGTAGCATGGTGCATGTAAATTTCAGCGATGGGACGTAGGGGCTTGCTGCACTACTCATCACATGCACAAAAGGCAAAAAATATGGCGGTGTATCTTCCCATGTTTTAGCGAACGATTCATTCTCATTTTCCATATTTGGTGAGTAGCTGGAGTGAAGTCGGTAGTACGTGGGATTTAGGTTGATATCGTGGAATGCGAGTACAGTTTCCCTTCGATTCTCGTGCCAATTGGTGAAAACATCATTGGAAATCTTTCTCCTCCTCCTCTTCCTCCTCCTCTTCTTCCTCCTCCTCCTCTTCCTCCTCCTCTTCTTCCTCCTCCTCTTCTTCCTTCCTCCTCATATTTCTTCATCATTCCCCTGATCTTCATCCTTGCTGTCATTATCATCGTTATGTTATGGCCATCATCATCATATCACCATATCATTCTTAAATCTTATCATTCGATCGGCAGATCATGATAATCATCATCACTTCAGGATCGGTGGCATTAGCATCCTAGTCATTATCGTTACCGCCACCATAGCCAGCGTCATCACTGGAGACGCTTATTCCGTCCGTCACCCGCTAAATCCCCACGCCTTAATACCCACGCTGTACCCTTCCTAAAACCCCATACCACCCCGATATCTCCTTCCATTCTCGAGCTTTCTCGTCTCCTCCCGTCCCCACTCAATGCCCCTTCTCTCCTCTAGGGATCGTGCAGGGGCACTGCTTGATCGGCGTTAGGCATCTTCCCTACCAATCTCTGTGTGTGTGTGTGTGTGTGTGTGTGTGTGTGTGTGAGAGAGAGAGAGAGAGAGAGAGAGAGAGAGAGAGAGAGAGAGAGAGAGAGAGAGA